GATATGAACACTAATTTTATGTGTAAACCACTTTTCATAACAATGAAAACATAAAGCACAGTGTAACAGCTTTACAGTGGCAGAACAACATCACTTTTTCGTGTGGTGCTCCAAGAAAATTTTTTTATCCTTTGTAAACAACAAAAGTACTTTGCACTTCTGGCAGGCCGTTTGTGTGGAGCCATTCTTGCACAGTCTGCATCGTCCACGTTTATCAGCATGGATGGGAGAAAAGGCTCCAGAGTAAAAAAAGCTCATAAAATATAGATGTGGAGTAAGTAGGTAATTGGCATTTAGCTGTTGCAAATCTGCAACGCCTGCCTGGAGAGGGTTAACCAGTTTAATTCACAACGCGTTCGCACAAAAGACATCTGGAGTAACATAGCGGCGGATCATTGGACCAAGGGCCTGTTTACACGAGAATGCTTGCGGGTAAAAAAAGACATAATATTTTATCAGAATTGCCTTTTGTTTAGACGGTGACAGCGTTTTTGGGGCTTAAAAACGCAAAAATTTGTAACCACCCTCCAGAGTGGAAAAGTTGAATACGCTTCGCCGTAGAGTTTCTGTCTACACTGCCCAGGACGCAAAACTCTAGTCAGATCTGCTCACGTCGCGTACACGTTTACATCACATACATCATCACCTAGAGTCACCACCGAGCCGCCTGGCATGCAAACACAATCCAATTCCACACACTTTTGCGTCACCGTATGCGCGCAGATTTTCTCCTGAAAACACTGAAGCGACGCCACTTTTGGATCTTCTGTTCAGACCGTCATCATATAAACGTAGCCTTAGACAAACTTCATTGATCCACAAGGAAAATGACTTGGACACAACAGCTCATGCATCACAATATATTACAATAATAAAGAGTAAACAATATAAAAAAGGTAAAAGGAAATTCAAAATAAGTAGGAATAAAATATAATATAATAATTATTTTTCCATAAGTATTTACTCTAACCAATACTTTTTAATGCAGTTTAACAGTCTAAGGAAATAGCAATTGCTAGTATTATCAAATGCAGCCAAAGTAGAACCACTTTTTTATCTGTAGAAAAGCTCGATTTGTACATTTGAATCAATGTTTGTACACGATTAAAGACCACTTCCTATGACACTATGGGCCTGAGGCGGGTGAATGAACAGATAAATCAAACCGTAAAATATGTTTTGACCGAGTTGTAAAAAGACAGTGACTGAGCCTCATATGGAGAAGGTCAAAGGCAGATTATAGAAACTCAGAGCTAATAAATAAATGGTATGAAACATGTCTGTGTGTGTGGAACATGTGTCACACCCTCATGTCACTGTAAACATGATTATAACAAGTATCTGAATGGTGATGTGATTGGTTTAGGAGCTGCAGAGACAAACATGTGGGTTTACTTCACTACAGCTTTCATTCATTAGTCTGCACAGAGAAGAAGTGCTTACAGTAATTGTTCGGAAGATGAATAAAAGTCAGACCTGTTTGAATAATATTATAACTTTCACTATTTTTATTTTTTATTTTCTTGTCTATGGCAGATTTGATTTACTTCACATTAAACTAAATGAATGAGTATATCAGAGGCGTCCAAAGCTTTCACTGCAGCCAAATATAGAAACATATTCAGAGCGGAGGGCCACAGGCTGATGGTCAAAACAGTGGATCATGAAGATGGTCCATTTTACGTAGTTTGGACAGAGTTGCTGTACTAGACAAGGCTTGGAACATTCATTCTGTATTTACATTAAAATGTGATGTTACTGAGGTAATAGTGGTAGAAATACTTGTTGTTAAAATGACAACAGGGTACTGCTCTACAACTGTACCAACCACTGATACATTTAAAGGGACAGTCTGGAATTTTGGACATAGGGCCTCATTTTCTACTGAGCCAGAGTGTTGGAGATGTGTGGAGACACTTTTTAAAATATTCCATCCAGTCCTTGTATTTGCAGAGGTCACTGGTGCTAGGCTAGTGCATGTCAATGGCCATAGTTATCCTGCCACTAAAAACAGTCTTACCCACTCCACAAAACACCCGAAGCAAATCTATTATTACACCAGACTGCCCATGTAAATGTCTGTGTTAATAGAATAATGTTTGAAACAAAAATAACCTTGCATCGCATGAATCGTCGCATGTTGAGGGACTATTTTCTCATATATCAGTCCGCCGCTGCCAGGGTTTCTATCAGGAAGTACAACTCACTGCTGCTGCTCAGACATAAATCCTTCAAATGCAAGGTTGGTTTTACTTCTAAAATTATTCTATCAACACAGACATTCACATGGACAGTTTGGTGTAATAAAAGATTTGCTTCGGGTGTTTTGTGGAGTGGGTAAGACTGTTTTTAGTGGCAGGCTAACTATGGCCCTATGTCCAAAATTCTGTACTGTCCCTTTAAAGCCACGAAAGAATGTTGTTTCCTCCTCAAAAACATATCTGGAGTTGTGTTTTGTTTCATTCACACATGTTTGAGTAACTCTTTATTACTACTCTGTCTACATCTGTAAAGCTCAAAATGCTCTGCTCCACCTTGTGATGTCATGTCATGGTAGTTACCTTTTACTTTTAGTTCAGGAGATATTGGCAATTACAGGGCTGAAATTATCCAAATGATTCTAGTGAAAGTGTGTGGAGTTTAAAAACACAGTGAAAAACTTCTGAGTGTTTTCCGTATGACAAAAAAAATAAATAAAAATCAACTTAAATATGCAAGGCTTCTGTGTTAAACATGTATGAATGAAACAAAACACTTTCACAAAGAGGGAAGAACATTATAACATGGATCAGAAGATGAGCTCTTTAAGAATATTGGAATTAAAGTAGAGTATAAATGTGAAGTGCAAATATCGACCTATTAAATCAGTTAACAGTTACATAACGATCTAATCACCAGAACAGAATGTTGCACAACCTAACACATTTTTCCCTAAATACAGGTGTGTTAACAGCCTACTCTTTATTCCATCTTTTTTTAATAACTCAAAGCACAAATATTTACTGTATTTTCCGGATTCTTGAGCGCACCTGAATATAAGCCGCATCAACTAAATTTTAACTAAATTTTCAAATTGTACATATATAGGCCGCACCTGAATATAAGCGGCAGTTGTCCACATCTTCAAGAACGTTTTCAAGTTCGGGCGTCTGCTTTTATCGCCTCTGAAAGTTTTTGTCGTCTTTTTGCATTGAGTCAGTTCGTTAAACTGCCGTCGCCAAAATTTCACCATTGACTCACTGATGCCGAGCTCACGTGCAGCAGCTCGATTTACTTTTTCCACAGTCACATCAATTGACTTTAACTTAAAAGCTGCATCATCTGCATTTCTTCGTGTGTTTTCCATAAGGAGGGTGTGTGTATGAAGCGCAGAATAACTGTTCAAAACACAATCAAATGAGCATCTTCCTCGGCTCATCATCTCCGTCTCTCTCCTGCGCATGTCTCCTGCAGAAAGAGTCTCTGTTTGTATCATGTCAGTGTCTTGGAGGATTTCAGCAGATTTCAGACTCTCTCGGGGGCGGGGCTAGTTGTGTCAATCAGGCATGAGTGGATGTGCGGCTACTGATGTTTGAGACGTTTCTTCTCGTCATTTACGCAGACGGGTAAGACGTATCCTCCTCACTAATTTTCATTTAGTGTCATAACTTATTTTATCACACGGCGATGAAATATTTGAGTGTGCTGACTCTAACTAGTGTAGCAACTTCATGTTAACTCTAGATCCATGTGTAAATTGCACAAACAGTGACGTTTTCTGCACTCAGGCTCCTCGTATCCGCTGTGTTTCCAAACCATAGACCGTTTATATGAACGGACAATGTGCCAAACAAAGAATCCATCCATATATTCGCCACACCGTTTTATTAACTGCAGGGTTGTTAGAGAATTTTTATGTTATAAGCATTTCTCATGTAAAGGCAATCATGATGTAGTATAAGTTCTTTTTGTTTTACTTGTCTTGTTGCGTTCAAGCTGTATCAGGTGATCTTGCTGATGCATCGGCTGACTCATTAAAGATAATGTACCGGGAGAAACAAATAGTAATGGTAAACATCATGAGGTTAACACAGAACTCTGGGGTATTGCTAGAGGCTCTACTACCTGGAATGTGAAACCTGTGTATAATGGGGCTGTGTCAGTGGAAGCTTGTCAGTCATGAGACAACATGTGAACAATAGGTACTGTATTCAAAGTAACCTACTGTATGCTAATTGTGTGCTCTACAATAAAAGGCCGATGGAGAGAAGAGAGCTTCAGTTAGGATGAGACAGGCAGCTCTCTCCTACTCCTTGCGACAGGCAGAGCTCTCTCTTAGTCCTTGCGCAAGTAAAACCAACCACTGTGTCCCTGGCGTGTTCTTTAATATTTGAGGTCGGGGTAAATTCCCTGACAAGGGTTCAAAGTGTGAGAAAAAAGTTGCGCCTTATAGTCCGGAATTTACGGTAATTTAAAAGTGCATTGTGTAACTTTTCTGGTGGAGGGTCCGTCAAATGCTTTTATCCATGGAGACGTTATTGCTTTGTCTTGAATGTTTCACAGTATGGTATTAAACCTTTATAACTTCTCTCAAATTTATGTCTCTCTTTTTTAATTTTAATCTTTATGATTATTTATATTTTGATTTGGTTTTATTGTGATTTTAATGTATTTCTTATCCTGTAAAGCACTTTGAATTACTTTGTGTACGAATTGTGCTATACAAATAAACTTGCCTTGCCTTGCCTTCATGGAAACTAAACCAGACTAAGTTACAGGTCAGATCTGTGGAGAGGCGACCCCCGCTCACAGTCAGAATGTCTGTTTTTCTAGGTATTTCGAGCTATAAAACCACATGTAATTGAATAAATGTAAGGTAGAGCTGTTTAATGTCACGCTGTGGAATATTCCAGGCAGAGCAACGACATTTCCCGTAGAAACAAGCGGGTGACGGACCCTCCACCAGAAAAGTTACACTATGCATGCGCCTTTAAACCACAAGAATACAAGTCAGTACTCACATATGGGGGTGTTTCTACGCTGTCTGTGTTGACCACGACTGGAGGAGGGTTGGCCTGTAAAACAAAACAAAAAAACACACAAAAAGTTCATTTAAACAGCTTGGAAATTTCATATTTACTTTCCAAACTCGTGCACTTACTCGTCTCATGTTCTGATACAGCATGATGCTAAAGATTAACACTTTGCACTGAGGAACATCGCATGATACGGTGCTCAAGCGTCACTATGGAAACCTTGGGTATTCCACACTGAAGCCATCCCGACCACCATCTGCTCTTAATATTTAAGCAGAATTGGCCAAAAATATGCCAAAAAACTGAAAATATTCACAACATGGCAACACTGAATGCACACGCTGATTCGCTTATTGTGTTCTAACATAGTTTACTGGCTCGAAAAATGAGATAAGATAAGATATTAACGTCGTAATCAGAGCCTAAGTAAGTAAAATTAAAAATTAAAAATTACACTGAGGAACACCAGTCAAGTATGAAACCAAAATAAACCTTGGTCTGGAAAAAAAGAAATGATCAGAAACCCAAATGAACCTCACTGAACTGTCCAAAACGATTCTCGATTCGGTCTAAATGAAGCAAAACTGAATTAAAAGGCAAAAAACACTTATTCCAATGCATAACCAAGCAAAGAATGATTTAAAATTTGCCAGGAATTTGCAAATTTTAAAAAACACTGTGTACAAAAAGTAATTATTGTAACTAAACGCCGCAAAAAGTCATTTTTTTTTACATACTTGTGGTCTAAAAAAAGACTAGCAAACTCCTAAACTGTCAAAGAATATTTTCATTTCTACATGTTAAACAAAAGTACAGAGATCTCAGTTTGAAATCTTAAATCTTTTCCCAGGAAAAGATCCACACAGATCCATAAAAACATAAAAAGCGTGTAGTCCGACCAAAAGCACAGTTGGTGTCAGCAGTGATAAAAGACTGTTGTGTATCTCTGGGCGCTTTAATCTTTCTCTCATCCTCTGGCCCCTTTCACAGCTGTCCGTCACTCTGCGCCGCGACAGGATTGGCCGCCTGATCTCTGAAGGGGGCGGGACCGGAGCGGGGATCAGGTAGGATTACAGATCAAAGTGGGCGGGGCTACAGGACATAAACCCCCCAAAACGCAAACAAAACACGCCACGGGGAAAGTGAACAAATGCAGATAAGCAAGCAAAAAATTTACAAAAAAAAATGTAAAAAGCTACCAAAAAGTATAAAAAACAGCTAGAAAGAATTAAAGATATTTCCTTCTCTGCAGGGAAATATTTCAAGGTTCACTAACGCCTCATTCTTGTCTTCATGGACGTAGATTAAGGGTGTGCAAAATACTGAAATATCGATATATCGTATCGTTTAATTTGATCATACAGTGTCGCTATTGTGGGCTGCTATATCGATATATTGGCAAGAGTAATTTTAGGTATATTTAACTTAATTATTTTGTGTAAGAGCTACAATTATGTTCACATTTTCACTGTTTTGATGAGTAAAATTTATTTTTTCATGTTAACTTTGCACAAAATTATTAGACTTAGGCTACGTTCAGACTGCAGGGCTTAATGCTCAATTTGGATTTTTCTGTGAAATCCGATGTTTTTGCGAGGTCGTTCACATTTACAATTAAATGTGACTTGTGTGTGATCTCCAGTGTGAACTTTAAAAGCCACAAAAGTGTCCTGCATGTGCATTGGAAGACACAACGACGTTACACACAGCGAGCGTGCTCAGTGTTTACGAAAGCTGCCGAAACGCTGAGTTTGTCTCCCAAAATATGGTCCAGTTCTTCGGAAAATGGACAGGTTACACGTCCACGGCCGCTTTGTTTGTTTGAGTCTTTACCTTCCTTGTATTTTTCTCGCAGGCTCTTTATTTTTCATTGACATTGGAACCAGGACCGTCTGTAGCCGCGCTCAGACATTTCTTTGTCAAACATTTCAAAAATGATAAGACTCCTCTAATTTGGCCTGAATACAGTGATGCCCCCAAATATGAATGAACTCCATAAGCTCGCTTTCCCTCCATTGACGAGACTCTGAGCCTGACGTGGGATGAATGTGACCTGAAGTCGCATGTCAAAAGATCAGATATGTTTCGTTTTTAGGAGCACATGTCCAAGTGTCCTGGGTCACATTTGAAAAAATCTGATCTGTGTCGTTCAGACTGTCATTAAAAGATCAGATACAGGAGCACAGTGGCGAAAAAAAATCTGATTTGGGTCACTTCAGGCTGCAGTCTGAACGTAGCTGAAGTGGACTTTTAGTATCACAGACACAATTTAGCCTTTTTTTCACTGAACTGTATCGAATCAATCTGAAATATATCATATTGAATCGTACTGAATCGAAAGTGCACTGTATCGAAAAACGTATCGTACTGAGGCCTGTAGATACGTTTAATGCCATAGTGTGGGACATTCCAGACAGATTTTCATGCAGACATCTCCACTGGAAAAATGACATAGTGCACTTAGGACTATGTTGGTGATGGTGGTGTCTTGGATGAAAAACAACAACAACAACAACAACACACAGAAAACACACAAATTGGGACTAAACTGGTACAAAACCTGGACTAGACTGGGACTAAACCAGGATGCGAACAGGACTCAATCAAGTCTAAACCAAGACCAAACCAAGACTTTTTGAAAACTGAGTCTGCAGAGACAGAGAGAGCCGTTATGGACACTTGCACACGCACCATATTGGGACTAAACCCAGATCTACAGCAAGACTAGACCAGATCTAAAGCAGGACTAGACCAGATCTAAAGCAGGACTAGACCAGATCTAAAGCAGGACTAGACCAGATCTAAAGCAGGACTAGACCAGGACCAAAGCAGGCCTTCATTATCAATAAACTGGGATCAAACCAGGACAAAATGTGAACACAAAGTGAACCTACAAGAGGACAAAACCCCTTGATGACCTGAACTTTGGAACAATACAGTATTGACTCTTTGGTGAAACAGTTTCGACTACAGCCCAAAAAAGATTCAGTTCACAGTGTCCGTTTTTAACACATCCAGGAGCATTAAAGTCCCTGCATACCAAAGTCCCCATGTATTATTTGGCCAAATTTAGTCTTGCCCCAGTACAGATATTGTATAAGCGGCTCTTGAGTTCAGAATAAGTCAGCTGTGTACTATCGGTATTACATTTTTTATCTTTACTGTGCAATAATCAGAAAGTGCACTGTTAGAATGATAGTTGTTAATGTTACATTCAAAAACCTGAAAGGTCAAGTGAATAAAAAAATTAAAAAATCTCTCAAAACACTCTCTAAAGCATGTGTGTTACCAGACGTAGAGCAGACTTATGGAAGAACTTAGACGACTAGGCATGTGCAAAAATATCAAAATATTGATATATCGTATTGTTTAGTGTGATGATATTGTTTTCATGATTAAAATGTTTGTGTTTCAGATTAAATTTGCACAAAAAGTGGTTTAACAAAGACTTTTAGTGTCACAGCCATGATTTTGACTTTATTTTTTATTGAACCGTATCGAATTGTTTTGAAATATATCGTATCGAATCGAAAGTGAGATATGTATCGTATCGTGGCCTATGTATCGAGGTATGTATCGTATCAGCAAATTCTTAATGATACCAGCCCTATAGACGACCATATCAAAGCTTGTACTAACTTGGTGCACTTCAGAAAGCAATATAAAAATCAAATCTAACAGAAATAGAAGACATTTCATTTAATACATTTTAACATTACCTTTAACATGATCTTTTATTTTGGTAAACTCATAAATGCTACAGTTTGTGCCTTCTTTATCATTATTATTAGGTTGTCCATAAACGACCATAAACGAAAACAAAAACAAAAAAAATCCATACACTTTTTTCATTCTCATTCTGGTTTATTTTGTACGATCAGAAACGATAAACTTTTGTGCCTTTGTTAACATTATTATTAGTTTGTACGACCATAAATGAAAAAAAAAAAAAACTGGCATCTTTTTAAAAAATGAAAAGAACTAAGAAAAACAAAGATTATATTTCTGTTTGAGGGGTCAGTGTGTGGAACAATCTGAGTGATGATTTATAAAAAAAAAAAGTCTAACACTGTAGAAGCCTTATAAATAAAAAAAAGAGTATAAAGCGTCATGTTTGAAAGATATAGAGCTCTGGAATGAATGAATTATGCATTAAATTTGGTTTGTTTTAATTTATATTTTGTCTCTTAAATATACAGCAAGTCATAAGTGAAATTGTAAATGCAAACTTGCTGTTCATACATTTCTTTTTTTCTTGGAATTCTGTCATTGTTTAACCTTTACAAACTGTTCATTTCCTGTTCTTCTTTTGCATGTATGAGTGAAAACAAACTTAGAAGAAAAGACCTCTCTCCCCCTTGATTGACTTGTGCTCCTTATGTGCTCCATAAACAGGATGATCTCTCCATTCACTATTTTGAGATTCCCCTTTGCCTCTTCAAACACCAACAAGTGTCTGTCTCTGGGAACGTGGGGCATGGGGGAATCTCAACACAGTGAACTCTTGAACTCTGACACCACTGTCCCGTAAACAAATCCACACAAACATGGTCACGGTGCAGTTTCACAGGTTCAAGATTCCATAAAACTTCCATTTTCCTTCATTTGATCCGCACTGATAGATCTAAAATCCATCTCCATAGGATTAAACCTGAACCAGCCTCAGCGTCCAACCTGTACAAAAGTATAAAATTTCGAAATATTTTCATTTTTGTGTATTTTGACAAAATTTAGGGAAACTCATCAAATTTCAGGATAAAAGAACGATGCTTAGTGTATTTTTACTACTCTTGAATGTCAAAACGGGTCAAATTTAACCCCACTAGTATGTAAGGGTTAATACGTTTTGGCATTAGAAGTACTTTCTACTTCAGTGTTCAGTTTTGTTTTGTTTTGCAGTGCTGCAAAATGACAGAATGAACTACTACTAATATGACCACAGCGACAAAAATTTGTGTGAAAAGTGCATAGAAAGTCATTGCGGTGAATAATTCGGATGCCCAGAATGACAATGAAATTTGGACCATTTGAAACTGTTC